GTGCCCATATGGGATCTGGTGCATGCAAGGTGAGAACTTCAGCCACTAGGCTACTGTGCCAAGCTCCCATGCATAGTTTTTTCACAATACGTATTTCCATAAACTTTTTGAGGACCATGTACATTCTTGGTGGATCTGACTCCTATCTATTACTATAAATTTCCTTTTTTTTTATCCTTGCTAATATTCTTTTTGCTGAAGCCTCCTTTTTCCTGGTATTAATATATTATTCTGTTTAAAAATTGATGTTAGCATGATATGCCTTATTTCATTCTTTGTTTTTATATTTACAGTGAATTTCTTATTTGTCTTGAAATACTTATTTACTTTACTTGGAAGGCGGAGTTAGAGACAGACAGAGAAAGGTCTTTCATCCACTGGTTTATCCTCCAAATGGCATCAATGGCTGGAGTTGGGCCAGTCTGAAGTGAAGAGCCGGAAGCTTCCTCTGGGTCTCTCACACAGGTACAGAGGCCAAAGTATTTGGGCGATCATTTATTGCTTTCTCAGTCACATTAGCAATGATCTGGATGAGAAGTGGAGCACCTGGGACTTAAACCAATACCCACGTGGAATGCCAGCACCATAGGCAGCATTTTTATACTACACCACAGTACCAGCCCGTAAAATAAATTTTGACTAAATATCATATAGTTAGGTCTTGCTTTTCTAAAAATCCAATCTGACAATTCTTTATAGGTTTCAATTATCTATACATAATGTCATTATTCACAATTTTTTATGTTTAAAAATGTTTTGTTTTATGATATAGTTTCATAGGCACATGGCTTGATTAAAATTTACCTTCCTCCAAGGTTTTTCTTCTTTTTTAAAAGGATTCATTCATTTGTTCTGAATGTCAAGTTGAGAAAGAGAAAAAAGAAAGAGACATTTTTTATCTGCTGGTTCACTTGCTAGATGCTATCAACAGCTAGGGCTGGGATGGGCCTGACAGGTGCCCAGACTACAGTCAGGTCTCCCACATCGGTGACAGGGATCCATCGCCACTGGGTGATGGTGATGATACTTGGCCCATCAGTCACTGATTCCCAGAAGCATTAGTGAGAAACTGGGTCAGCAGCGGAGTAACAGGGAAACTCTGAAACAGGATACCAGTATCCCAAGTGGCAATGAGTGTCTCAAGCCTGCCTTCCTTCGGTTTCCATTTACCTATGGGTTCTTTGTTCTTTTATCTTCTGTCTTTTTTTTTTTGTATTAAATGAATGTAGTTCATTATTTCATTTTATCTCCATTATTGTTTTAGTATTTATGACTCTTATTTTTTAGTGTTTGCCATATAATGTGTAATACATTTAATGAATAAATTATGTGTTCAAATCATATCATGAAGCTTTATGTGTAATTTAAAGACCTTACATGCTATTGATTACATTCTTGTTTTTCAAAGATCTGTTTATCACCTTGAAAAACAGAGACACAGAGACTGTAGCTGTCTTTAGCTTTAGGACAGTTATAAGGTTCGGGATACAAAATCATGACCAGAGCTACTTCCTGGTTCTATCCTAATTAATTTTTATGACTTTAGACAAATTGCTCACCTAAATTAAAGTCTATTTTTCTTTTACCAAAATTGTATTAGTAGTTGATTTTCTTACATTACAGGATGAAGAGTGAAATAATGAAAAAAACCTGGAGAAAAAGGCCTGGAAAGGGGAGTGATTACATGATATCATCCCTAAGTTCTAGGTGAGTGAGATTATATCCTGTGGAAGGGGGTGTTTGATTCACAGGTAGGCAAACAGTACTACATAAGGTGGTGAAGGTATGGTTTCAATTTGTGGCTCTCAGCTGGCTACCTGCCTGTCCTATTTCATCCCCCTCCTCAGAGATTTCCAATGCTTATTCTTAAGGGTTGCTGAAGGATGTGGATTCATCTCATATTTTGCTACATCTCATAATCAGCCACTTTCTGCTGATTAGGGACATAGTCCCAGATTTGGAAATCTCTCTCCATTTTATCAAATAGGTCCATCTCACTAGTTGGAGAAATTCCAGCCAGTATCAATGGCTGTGTTTCTCTCACATCAATGTCACTCTGAGAAGTCACTGGCATTTCTTCTCTTTTGAAGCAGCATCCAAGGCCCTCAGCTGATGCGCAAGAACAGGCTGACTCATCGTTCTTGCAGCCTTGGGCATAATCTTCCCTGCACAAGCAGTGGCAAAACACACTGCGTGATTTGTGCCAGGACACACACCCACTGTCTCTGGTCCCTGAGATTGGAGATCGTTTAGCACCTGAGAACAACTGGACATAAAATCCTGGGTTTCTTGGTAATGCCAAAGATTGTTAGTTAGACCCCAATGTGTTACTTTTCTCATGCTGTTTCCCATATGGGTGCACAGCAGGTCACCTAGTTTCCCAGGAATTATCTTTAGCTTTAGAACAGTTATAAGGTTCAGCACATGTTCATGTTTTCATGACCAGAACTACCTCATGGCTCTGTCCTAATTGTTTTTAATGACTTTAGACAAATTGTTCATGTTTTTGAGCCTATTGTTCTTTGTACCAAAATAGTTGTAGTAGTTCATTTTCTTACATTACAGGATGAAAAGTGAAATTATAGAAAAATCTTCGGAAAGACTACAAAATGATGTAGAAACACATTTCTACTTAACCTTAACTTCATAGCCAAGAAATAACTCAGAAATAGAAATGATGGTCTTAGGATCTGGAATTGGCTGAATCACTAACTAGCTGGGTAAATCATACCCTTTCTTCTGACCCTTGACAGCTTATCAATCATCCTGTTAGTGATAAGACAGAAAACAAACAGTGGAGTTCAAATCAGTTAACTGAGGGAAGGTATGTTCTTGGCTAATTCTCTTCCTTCTCTTCCTCTTGGCAGTTGGTGTAGGTCAATATTTGTAATTAAATGAAATTTACATCTCTGAGGAAAGTGAGATGTAGGTTATGGCCAGCATTAGCTCAAACAAAGCTGTAAGCACATTTACTTGGGTGTTATGGGAACAACACACTCTCAATTGTTATTAGAGAGCAGGAGAAGGCAGAAACAAGATCATTTTGGCCAATTCTGAAGAATTATGTTTCAATTTTCAATCCATCCTCTCCATGCCCATGGTCAATAATCAAGTCCTTCTACAGATTCATTTCCTTCTGACTGTCCTCTTCTGCTTTGGTCAGAGCCTCACCCAGATCATTGCTTTTGTCTCCTGACCTGACTCCTTGTCCCTAAGGAGTCTCCTTCCAATCCATCTTCCTCTGGTAGCTCCATTTTTTCCATAAAAATACCAAACATTGTAGCTCAGCCTATAAATTTCGTTTCTAGCCTGCACTTGACTGTGACTCCAGACTTTTTTCTTATAGACCACTTGTGTCTTACTCACATATCTCCCTTCCTTAACTATTTTTTTACTTTGTTTTGTCCATTTGTAATTCATTTTCCAAAAATTTTCCTCCATTCTTTAACTTTTGCAGCATCCTTAACTGGTCAGGAAAGTCCACTTCTCTGCATCTTGTAGTAGCTTTCCTTACATATCCCCTTCTCCGTCAAGGACCCCCTACTTACCTATCCAGACTCCTGGCTCAGGCAAGTGTTTCCCGCTCTAGGAAGTCTTTCTTGACATGTCAGTCTCTGCTCACTGATTTTTAAGTTCCTTTCGGGCAGAGACATTGTCTCACTCACTTTTCTGCTTTGAGCAGCCCCCTCAAAAATTTCTTGTGTGATGATGGGCAGTTGAAAGGGTTAATAAAAGAATTTCCAGCAGTCATTTGGCATATACAATTTTTCATTCTGTTGTTTTCTCAGAAATGTTTTTCCAGTACCAAATGATGTGAGCTTTTGGCGCTCAGAGACTTTTGTCTGAACATTTCTTTAACATGCTACCCAGTGCCCAATCTAGTCACAGGGAATGCTTCCTCTGATAAGCCTGTGAGAAGTTCCTGCAGAATTCTTAACTTGGCAAAGTAGTCTTAAAGACATATAAATATTTAACTTGAGAGTTGCTCTCCTCCTCTCCAGGGGCAAGGGCAGTTTCAGCGAAGGAGGGCCCAGGACGCAAGTCAACCAATGACAGGAGCTTCCCACCTGCCACACCGACTTGCCCTTGTGGCTGTTTTTCCCTCAGTCCTTCCAGAGGAGCCATCAGGAATCCAACAAGCCAGGGTAAGCAGGGGAGCTGGGTGAGGACAGATGTCCAATTAGTCAAGTTTTTTAACGGATTCTATTTTTAGACTAAACCCAAGTAATTTTGGTCTGATACAGGAGGTTTTAAATTATACAATGCAAATAGGGTCTATATATTTAATGAAATTATATGTTTAATGTTTGAAGAATTGCATTTTTAAAAGCAGTTGCATGGGGAAGGAAATTTTCTGCAAAGTAAAGAAACATCTCAGAATGAACCTGTGTTACAAACGTGAATGCTTGGATATTAGGTTTACTTATTCTAAAGTACAAACGTCTGCTTCAGGTCCTGGGTTAATTTAGCTTTAAAACTTTCTTATTTGAGATCATTAATATTCATATTGATTCTTGTAAATTTAGTTTTGCTATAGTGAAGAACATGAAAGCCTGTTCATCTTTGTTGTTTTCTAGCAATATTTTGGGATCTGAGATTGTTGTTGCCTTCTTCCTCTGTTTCTTTTCTACTTAGCTAAGCTTACTGGGGCAACGCCCAGCCCAAGTAGATACCTATACATTTTCCTTTGATTGACTAAATAGACTCTTGATCCACTCAATTCCCTGTGTTTTTTCTCTTCTCTCTCACTTCCTTAGTTCATCCCTTAGCTATTCACAATAGGAAACAGATTCTATATCTCATTATTTATCATGTTTAAATGATGCATCCAATCAACCTCAACTCTCAGTTCTTAAAGAAATCAACTAGCCTCCTACCATTTCTGTTTTTGTGATTCTGTAGGTAACTGGTCCTAAATATTCTTTTCTACCCTACAGGACAGAATGGTCAACTTTTCAGCCTTTATCCTGAATTTGTTTTTCAGTTGAGGAGAACAGAAGATGGTGGAGGAACAGAAAGCTAGTGGAGGAAAGTCCTGTGCTCTGTCCTCAGCAGAGAATGGAATAGAGAATCCAGGGCTGGAGCTCATGGTAATTCTCCAGTTCAGTTTCCACACAGTCACGGGCTGCCACGTGACCTCCTGCAGGGTCTTTGGCTGCTGTCAGTCTCCACAGCCTCTGGCAGGACTCTAGGAATGACCCCACTCGCAATGTGCTTCCAGGAAGAAGAAGTAAATCCTGAGAGAACCAGGAGGCTTGAAGTGCAAGGACAGAGTTTCGGGGATGATCGGAGGCCTGCCACTCACCAGAGGTACGGCTGTCCCGGAATCCAGTTCAGTGAGGAGTGAGGGGTAAGAGGAGGTTAAAACTACTCCACTGTCAGAGAGCTTGTGGTGCTGTCACGGAGATGACTCACCACCACCCCATGTTATTACATGCACACACACACACACACACACACACACACACACACACACACACACATTTTGAGTCTTTACTGCACAAGCATGAGCTATAAACAGGTGCATCAGTGTTGGTTGGATCAATAAAATATTAGTGACAATGATAATAATGGCTAACATTTATTATGTACCAAGTATTACAGGGAGAAATTTATGCAATTTTTTAAAGATTTTTTTTTTAATTGGAAAGTCAGATAGAGAGGAGGAAAGACAGAAAAAAAGATCTTCTGTCCGTTGATTCACGCCCTAAGCAGCCGCAACGGCCAAAGATATGCCAATCCGAAGCCAGGAGCCAGGAGCCTCTTCTGGGTCTCCTATGCAAGTGCAGGGTCCCAAGGCTTCGGGCCATGCTTGGCTATTTTCCCAGGGCACAAGCAGGGAGCTGGATGGGAAGCAGGGCCAGTGGGATTAGAACTGGCACCCATATGGGAACCCAGTGTGTGCAAGGCAAGAATTTTAGCTACTAGGCTACCATGCTGGGCCCAATTTATGTAATTTTCACAACAGATGGATTTTTTTCCTGCTTTAATTCTTTGGAATTTTTTAAAAAATATATTTTGACAATCTTTACATAGTTAATTAGGGTAAAAAGGGTCAAGGGCCACAGAGAAGTGGGTAAGACTATTATTTTTTCCAAACTGTTTCCTTCATGTTTAAAGCAGGGTATTAAGGGAGAAGGCCCACCCAATTTCCCACCCTCCCCAGGTCCCGGATGTAGGGTATGCTCTGAGGTTCTTGCTCAAGTGGTTTTGATATTTCAACAGTTATGAATCACTGCCAATCCTGCCACTCCAAGCATGATGAGGTCCTTGGGGATTCCACTGATTGACATAGTCTATCACAGAGTCTCTGTTTGCCCCGTATTTCGCTGCCAAGATATAGCTGGGATGGTTGGTTGACCTGTTCTGTCTTCTCTCTTTTCTTGGTTAGGGTTCTGAGTCCAGCATTTTGGCTGGGGAGATCTCCAATGAAACTTTGTCTGAGGTGTTTTCAGACCAGATTCTTGCATGTGCTAGCAAGTACAGGGCCCGGCACAGTCCATCGCCCTGATCAGCTGGTGGTTGCAATTGCTGGGTTGGTTCTGTTTCCAGCCCTGTCTTCCACTGGAGCCAATGGATGTTGCAGTCCAGCATGGTTCTGCCCAGCACATATTTGGCCCTCACATAAACCAGTGGGAGCTGCAGCCTAGTTGGAAGGACCCACAATAACCCCCACCAGGCCTGCCCCCTACCCTGGTTTGCCAGTATGTGTAGCAGACTAGTCCAGTCTGTCCCACACCCCATTCCACCCCAGCCCCTGTCCTGGTTTTTCATGCCCTCCACTGGAAGGTAGTAACCCAAGAGGGAAGAGCCCACTATTTCCCTGCCAGGCCTCTCCCACTCCTGGATTATGCACTCTCCAGGTAGTTCTGTGGTTTGACTTGACAGAACTAGGCCCAAGTGCCAGCTTCTGCCAGCTAATGCTGTGGCTAAGCCCAAACAACCCTCACCCACTCTAATTTTGTTTGCACCAGTAGGAATAATCAGCCCAGCCTGGCTTTTCCCTGATCTAGTCCACATGAGGCATACAGGTATTGTATCCCTGCTTAGTCTGGTCTGTCCCCATCCCAGCTCATGCTCTCCAGTGGGAGTAGCTGTCCAGCAAAGGAACCCTCCCTTATTCCCCTGCTGGCCCCGCCCCCTCCCTTCCTGATTCTCACACGTGCAGTTAGGCACTGCAGTCACATCTAGTACAGTTGACCTCATCATGGCATTCCGTATTGTGCACTAGTTTTCATTGCGACCGAACTCGGCTTGACCCACACTGTTCAGTTGCCTGGATTTGCCAGTGGATGACGTGGACAGATTCAGCCTGGCCTTCCCCTTACCCATGCCAAATGTATGCCAGTGGGTAACTTTCCATGGCCTGTTCTGGGCTGTTTCCTATCATGTTTCTTGTGCTTACCTTCAGGGTCTGTGTCTTGCCAGAGGAGTTGCCCAGCCTCCTCCATCAGAACCTCTCCCAATGCCAGATTTTGTGCATACCAGTGGGTCCATGAGCCGGCCCTACTCAGTCCACCTCCTGTCCTAGCAGGAACAGTGGCTTTTCCCGACTGGCCTTCAACCCAAGCTGGTTCTCACTGTTGGATGTTTCAGCCCAGGAATGGCTCATCCATACCCACATATGGCTCACACATGGCTCAATTATGGTTGAGACCTTGCCTAGTCCATCCCACATCTACCCTGGTCCTCCAGGACACCAGAGAGTGTTGGAGTCTTGCCTGCCTTGGAGCATCCAATCCCAGTTCACACTTGTGCCAAGGGAGACTATAACCGTTTCCCATTCAGAACGCAGCCCCCATTCCAGGCCACACACCCCTTGGTGGGAACCTCAACCCAGCTAGGGTTGTCCCCTTAGTTCCCCAACCGGGCCTGTTCCCAACCGTGTATCACACGCATGCCGGTGGTTGCTCTGACTCAGCTTGGCTCAGCCCCTCACCTGTCCCAACCTCTGCCTTAGACACTGTGGCTTACTTAGCGTTCCTGGCTCACACAGACCCCTAGGTGCAAGAGCCTAGCTCGGCATGACCTGTGCTCCCTCCTGGTCTCTAGTTTCGCTTGTGTGCTAAGGTCTGCTCAGTCCTGCCCAGTCCACCCTGTTCCATTACCAACTGACACATTACCCAGCTGTTGGAGCTACTTTGCCCAGCTTGTCTGACTCCCAGGTCTGGACCACAGGGTCACCAGCAGGAGCTATGACTTGCCAAGGGAGTTTCCCAAGTTTTAATCCACTCCCAGACCCAGTTCTCATACATGCCATTGGGTTTAGGCCAGGTTCTGGCAAAGTCTGGCCTTCCATTTGGCCTTGTATGAGCTGGTGAATGTTGCAGCCCAGCCACCCCACACCCTATTCAGGATGCACATTTGGGTGCTGCTGCCCTGACCAGTCCAGACTGTTGGGGGTTCCTTTACCTGTGATTCATGGCAGGCTCCTTGGTCACACCTAGCTTAGTCCATCACCACCCCAACTCTTGAGTTAACCAGCGGGGTTAGAATTTCCACAGGGTTTGGCCCACACATCCCTCACAGAATCTAGCCCCCGGTTATGGTTCTCAAGTGCTAGTTAATGTAATGGCCCTGCTTAATGTGACCCTTCTCCTGATCCATCATCATGTCAGGTAACAGGATATGATTCTGATGGACAAGCCCCGAGCCATATCTTTTGCATGGACTGGTATTTGGTGGTCAGCATTGTTCAGTGATTACAAGTTTTTAAAAGGAAGAGTTACTGTCATTGGGAATCTTAATGATTCCTTCACGTCTTAGAAGCACAGTGGGTTCAACTTGAAACTACTTAAGCAGCAATTCAAAGAACCAAAACCCCAGAGCTCCTCAAAGGGAGCAGCACCCGGAGCCCAGGCAGGCCCGGGACAGCTCACCACGTGCATATGGTGGCCAGCGTCTGGGATCCAGGCATGAGACACCCCATCCTCGGAAAATTTTTATGGTTCCTCTTTGATGCCAGCAAATGACAATTCCACTGCCTGGCATTCAAGTCTCTTTATACCCCTCATTCCTCAATCATAACTTGATCCAAATTTGACATTCTGGAATTAATTCTTAATTCCACACTCCTCCCTAGCCCCCGCCCAATTGCTAGCCTATGCTCTAGCAAACAAACATCCCTTATACATAATCCTTAATTTTCTGCCTCCATGTCAAGTTTTCTATCATGCTTTTGAATGAATCCTCTTGATTCTGCATCTCTCTGCCCAAACATATCTTTTAAGGCCTAGTTTCATACAAGTCATGTTCATGATATCATCCCAATGACTTCCTCTGTCTTACTGGCCTCAGTTAAACTTCCGTAACACTGTTTGGTCCTCTCCAATAACACTTAACATTTTTGGCACTGTGTTATGGACTTTTACGTACACTACATCCCCTATATTGGATTGTAAATACCTTTCTATTTCATTCTTTTATTACCTATAACTCCTGGGACAGTATTTATCAAAAGCACCTACTAAAATTTTTTCAATTCCTTGATGGTTAATGAATCTGAGCATTTTGTCAAATGTCCATTGGATATTTGAATTTCATCATTTGAGAAATGCATGCTCATGTCTTTTGCTCATTTCTTAACTGGACTGTTTCTTTTACTGTTGCTGAGTTCCTTGAGCTCTGAAAATAGATCATGGGTATAAATCATCTATCAGTTCCATAGTTTGTACATATTTTCTCCCATTCTGTTGGCTGCTTCTTCATTTTGTGGATGATTTCCTTTACATTGCATAAGCTGCCTAGCTTGATGGAATCCTATTTGTATATTTTTGTCTTGATTGCCTGTACTTCTGGGTTCTTTTCCAAGAAATCTTTTCCTATACCTGTTTTGCAGAGTGTCATTGATATTTGCCTCTAGTAATTTGATGGTGCCAGGTCTTAGATCTAAATCTTTGATCCATTTGGAGTGGTTTTTGTAAAAGGTGTAAGGTAGGAGTCTTACTTCATACATTTGTACATGTAGATCCAATTTTCCCAGCACCAGTTGTTGAAGAGACTGACCCTTCTCCTTGGATTGATCTGTTTGCTGGTCAAAAATTAGTTGGCTTTAGATGTGTGGGTGCCTTTCTGGGATTTCTGTTCTGTTCCACTGATCTTCAGATCTGTTTTTGTGTTAGTACCAGGCTGATCTTATCACAACTGTTCTGCAGTACACTTTGAAGTTTGGTATTGTGATGCCTCCAGATTAGTTTTTGTTGCTTTTGCTATTTGGGGTCTTTTGTGCTTCCACACGATTTTAGCATCATTTTCCCCCCTAGATCTGAGGAGAATGTCAATGATTATTTTGACTGGGACCCTACTGACTC